TTTAACTATCTGTTATTTTATAACAATTATTTAGAAATAACATAACGCAACCGTTACTACTTCTAAAAAATAACAGATATAAATTAACGACACGTAGAGATCGGCCGCTCGTGAAACGAAAAAGTCGGCGCTCTGCACCGCCACGAAATTCTAAGCTGCACGAAGCAATTCCAAAAAAAAACTAGTATGGATGGAAAACATGTTATTTCGTCAACCATCGATACAGGCGGCGAGACAACGGATAACGGAGTGGGGAATGCGCTACGGCGAACGTAGCTGCTTCGGTCGATGCCGTCGACGGTCGTATTGGGCTTACAACAGCTTAAAAATAATAGGATATAAAAGAAGCAGGTTTTTTGAAACAGTTGCGGGCATAACGCCTGGCGGTCGAGATAACAGGAGTGGGAAAGGAACGCTGCTGCATCGGTCGATTGTCGATGGAGGCTCGCAACGGGTTGGAGAAGCAGTCATTTTAGATACGTTGTTTTTCAACCTGTTACGAGCATAGACAGTTAAAGCAAGGCACAATACGTATACGTATCTCTCGACACGTATCGCAGAAACCTACGTTACGTCTGCCGTTGTGTTGTCGTGTAAACAAGAGTTAAAGCAAGTATTTTAACGTACGTAACGCAAATAGTACATTTGTAATTCTAAATTATTTTGTAAAACAATTTATTTAATTTTAAAACTGAAAATGGATATCTATTATTCCATTGATTCCACATTAAATTTATAAAAGTTCGAAAAATGAAGAAAATTATAAATGGAAATTATTTTATTACAGAAAGTAGTCCATACAACTTAAAATGCTCTTAGTAATAAAAATATTGTAAAACAGACACAGTTTTATGATTATTTATTAGATTCCGTCTTTTAGAATCCTCATATGGATTTTGGCTAAGAACTAGCATTTAATGAAATACGATTCCAAAATGAGTTTATTATGATGCTTAATATTTTCATACTAATTTATTGTAACAAAACAGGCCCAGTTCTGTTACACTGGCCCCAAAATTTATGAAATAACTTAATTACTAGCCAGTTGTGGAAACGAGTTGTTTGTGAATTTGTATTTGTGAAACTCCTTCGGCTCGATACGTTTGCGTTTTGTACGTACGTAAAGGCACGTAAAGATACGTATCACGTATCCGTAAACGCAAGTGAATTTCTCACTGCGCAAGCGTACATGTCAAACGATACGTTTACGTCTACGTCTTTGGCCGTGCTTTAACTGTCTCATAACAAAGAATATCTTAATACCCTAGAAGTCTCGTCTCGCATCAAAATCTGACCTGTCGATGGGGCCTCGCTTTGGCGAGCGATGCCCCAACTTCGTGGGGCCTCGCTATTTTGCTCGGAATTGAACGAATAGACGCGCGGCGTTGCCTTGTTTGGTGTGTACTTTCTTGAATAGTTTTAAATTTTATCTATTGCTATAATCAGTCTTTCCGTTCTCCGCACTCCGCAGTTTACATATAATATTATCTTAAATAATTCCCGTGTTACAGTTTTGGTTACCGTACTCCTCCGAAACGGCTTAACCGATTTTGATGAAATTTTATATGTATATTCAGTAGGTCTGAGAATAGGTAGTTATATACTTTTTATACCCTTAAGTGATAAGGGTAGTCCACCCCCATTTTTATATTTTGTGAAATTTTTTTTTATTTGGCATTAAAAAATACAAACAACACTAAATTTTCACCGTTCTACCTTCATCCCCTATTTTTTAATAGGGGTTGTTTTTGTAATTTTTTGTTACCATCTCCGAAACGGCTTGACCGATTTTGAGAAAATTTTATATGTATATTCAGTGCGTCTAAGAATAGGTTATCTATTTTTATACCCTTAACCGGATAGCCGAGAGGGTAGCCCACCCTCATTTTTTTTGTTTTTGAAAAGAAAAAAATATTTTTATTTTTTTATTTGGCATTAAGAAATACAAACAACCCTAAATTTTCACCGTTCTGCTATCATCCCCTATTTTTAATAGGGGTTAGGGGTTAAACAACCCTTTTTTATTTTTTTTTTGTTGCCATCTCCGAAACGGCTTAGCCGATTTTGATGAAATTTTATATGTATATTGAGTAGGTCTGAAAATAAGTTGTTATATATTTTTTATACCCTTAAGTGATAAGGGTAGCCCACCCCCATTTTTTTTATTTTTTCAAAAAAAAAATAATTTTTTTTATTTGGCATTAAAAAATACAAACCCTAAATTTTCACCGTTCTACCATCATCCCCTATTTTTTAATAGGGGATGTTTTTCTTTAATTTTTTGTTACCATCTCCGAAACGGCTTGATCGATTTTGATGAAATTTTATATGTATATTCAGTAGGTCTGGTTTGGTTTGGTTTGGTCACAACCTATTCCCAGGTTGTTATCTATTTTTTACACCCCTAAGTGATAAGAGTGGTCCACCCCAACTTTTTTTTATTTTTAGACAATTTTTTTTATTTTAATTGTTTTATAGGGAGTGCTTATTTTTTAGGGGGTGCATGTCCAAAATTTTCTTCTGGGCACTCACTTTCATCACTTAAGGGACCTCTGTACAAAATTGCATACTCCTAGTCCTAGAACGGATTTTACATAAAAATTATACAAATTTTTACCCTTAGTTTTATCCCCTTAAGGAATGAATTCCAAAAATCGCTCTAATTATTCAATTACGCTACATAATAAACCTCTGTGCAAATTCTCATATTCTTTGAACAGAATTTATTGTTCCAGAACGTTCAACCCCTCATTTCACACCCGTAGAGGGCGAATTTCCAAAAATTGCTTCTTAGTGCTAAATTACGTTACATAAGGAACGTCTGCAAAATTCATACTTCTAAAACCGATTTTAACAAATTTTTGTACAAATTTTCATCCCTTATTTTTTAGGGGATGCATGCCTAAAATTCGCTTCTAGGTACTCACTTTCATCATTTAAGGGACCTCTGAACAGAATTTCATACTCCTAGTCCTAGAACGGATTTTACATAAAAAAATTATACAAATTTTCACCCCTAGTTTTACCCCTTAAGGAATGAATTCCAAAAATCACTCCAATTATTCAATTACGCTACATAAGGAACCTCTGTGCAAATTTTCATATTCCTTCAACAGAATTGTTTCAGAACGTTCACCCCTCATTTCACACCCTTAGAGGGCGAATTTCCAAAAAGTGCTACTTAGTGCTAAATTACGTTACATAAGGAACGTCTGTGCAGAACTTCATACTTCTAAAACCGATTGTAACAAACTTTTGTACAAATTTTCATCCCTTATTTCTAGGGGATGAATGTCAAAAAATAGCTTCTAGGTACTCACTTTCGTCACTTAAGGAAACTCTGTACAAAATTTCATACTCCTAGAACTAACATTTTTTGTACAAAATTTTACCCCCCAGTTTCACTACCCTTAGGCTATACATTTCCAAAAATCGCTTATCAATGTTCAAATGCGCCACATCTGTGCAAAAGTTCATACTCCTAGTAGGTACAGATTTTTTTTTGTATAATTACACCCCTTTATCTAATTACACCCCCTTATGGGTCGAATTTTAAAAAATTACTTAGTAGTGCTCATCTTAGAGAACGAATTTAATATTCTCCGTATTTACTCCAGTTTACTAATACTAGCACAGATAACACATAATCATACTAGTTAATTTTTTATTGGGATAGAAGTAATTTTTATTAGAAGGTACAAACAAATTAAAAATCTAAAATTTTATTTTCATAGCTACGTTTTTTTTTCATAGCCTAGGATATTTCTTTAAATATCGAGAAATAAAATATGTTTTGGCAACACCGTACGAAATATCGCCGCGCGTAGTCCTCAAAATTTAAAATATTAGCATTTTCAGGCTTCAATTATGTTCAAAAGCGCCACCGTGTGACAAATCACTAAAGCTTCCACACGAGAGTTCTTAAAACTATAATATTCTTTGCTCATAACAGGGCGGCGGTCGAGATAATCGGAGTGGGAAAGAAACGCTGCTGCATTGGTCGATTGTCGATGGAGGTTCGAAACAAGTTGGAGAGAATAACGCATCAGTTGTTTTAAATACATTGTTTTTCAACCTGTTACGAGCATAACGAGCGGAGGTCGAGATATTATGGCGCTGTATGTTTCAGTACGTTATTAAGTTTCAATATTTAGGTATTTATTTATTCTGAAAAATTTTCAGAATAATATTTTAAGATTTTTTAAAAACGTATACAGCGTGTTTTGAAAAATCTGGTCATTGATTAATCACGATCCTGCTTAAAGCCCTTGACGTAAAAAGTTGATTTTTGGAAAATGGATTGACTTTAGGGTGTAGAGGTTCGATAAGAAGGGATTTTTCGAAACTCGAATTCTAAGGGGGTGAAACCACCCTCAAATATTAGAATATTTTTTATTTAAAAACCGGTGAGTTTTTCGGAAAAACTCTTAAACACGTATATTTTATTTCGTTGTTTTACATATTTTAAGATTTTTTAAAAATATATACAGGGTGTTTCATAAAATATGACCATTGAGTAATCACGATTCTGCTTAAACTGCTTGACGCTTAAAGCTAATTTTTGGCAAACGGATTGACACTGGGGTTGAGGTTCGATAAGGAGGGGTTTCTCGAATCTCAAATTCCAAGAGGGTGAAAACGCCCCTCAAATATTACAATATTTGTTATTTAAAAAACGGTTAGTCTTTCGGGAAAACGCTTGGACAGGCATAATTTATTTTGTTTTATTACATATTTTGAATTTTTTTAAAAAATCATACAGGGTGTTCCAAAAAGTTGAGTAATTGATTAACCACGATTCTGCTTAAACTGCTCGACGTTTAAAGCTTATTTTTGGCAAATGTGAGAAAATTTTATCCAGTTTGTATCACAGATAACACATAATCCAGATGGCTCCTTACGTGTTAAAAATTGTCACCCTAATTTCACTCCAATTTGGAAAAATATTGGAGTGACATTTGAATAATCTGAAATTTTTAGATTTCTTTTCTCACTTTTTTAGGAGGTTTTGCTTCTCTTGCACAGATGTCGCTTGCACTTCAGTTGCGTGGTTGCCAAACGTTATATCGAAATATATTTCATTTCATTATGAATATATAAAATTAAAGGTATACCAAATTAAAAATGATGTAATTTATAAACATGAAATAGATATGTTAAATTAATATATAAATATTTAACTTAATACGTTCATTATTATTTTATTAATTTATCGTCACACGTCATTTACCAGTTGCCTAATTACGAAAAGTTTCATATGACATTAACCTCAAAAATGATCTTTGAAAACAAACAACAAACAGAGCAACAAATGATCAAATAACTACATAATGACTGATAATGATAAGTGATAATAATAACTTTAATGATATGAAGGCTGATGAAGGTAATTATAAACATTATTTTGAGTTTGTTTAATAAAATATAGGATACAATATAACTAAGTAAAATCAAACAGTTTTAGACAACCAATACAAGATATTAGAACTTGACATCGTTATAAACAAATTGTACATTCAGGAACTCGTTTAAATATTATAGGTAAGTAATATTTTCACAAAACTAAACATTTTAGCATAAAATCACAGGTAATATATGGAATATTACCTATGATAAAATGTTAAATACTGATGTATATTTATTCTAATCACATTTAAATTTAAACTCAAAATTTTCATAAAAGAAAATGATAATTTCTCGTAAATATAAAGTAAATAATTATTACATATTTCAGGTTGATTGACGAATACTCTACAGTTGATTAGAGCCCATGATGATGCGAAGATAATTAATATCACCTAACTTCAAGAAACCAGCATAAAGAAGTTTACATTCATAACTCATCTAACCATTATAGGTAATAATTTACAAAATTAGCCATTTTTGATTATAATATTAAGGTACTTAGGTACATTTTTATCTTCTAGATCAGTAATGTCGTCATAATTTAAATGAACTCACAGATAGCAATGGGGCACTGCACCGAAGCAGTATTACAAAATATGTGAAATAAAACTGTAATACAAATTGCTCTATAAAATTTAATAGAAATAAATTTATTTATGAAAATTAAGTTATGAAGTTTTATTTTTCCTAGGAAAAATATAACATTTATATTTTGATCAATTTAGAACATTACAGTTAAAAAAAATATGTGTTAGAATAACATATTTTTAATAAAATTGCAGCTTGTAATTTTATACTTTTTGCTTTTATATCAATAAGAACTAACGTAAGGAACAATTCATATTTATACTATGAAAACACATGCATATTTTTTTGATGCTTTTAAAACCAGTGAATGATGTTGAAATATACTACACCTATTATTCTTATTAACTAACTTTAATTACAAACTTACACATTATTGTCATTGGAAATAAATTAATTTTGGATATTCTATTTGTTTAGAAACTTTTTACCTATTGTAGTTTTTTAAAACCTACTTGATTTTAAAACAAAAAAATGTCACCTGTTGTGACAAAATAAGGTCTTTTTACTAGAAAACAATCTAGTGAGCTTTTCTAATAATACTTTATTTGATATACCATATGATCGAAAAAACGGCGTCAGCGATGGCTATGAAATGAAGATCGCTGTCATTTTAAATGTAAATTTATATGGGAAATGTCATCGATTGCCATTTCCCAGCCAACTGGACGCCGTTTTTTTTTTCGATCATACGGTATAATATGTATTCCCATCTGGTAATCTTTTTATTTTAAGGAAGATTTAGAAGGGTAGCTTAAAACATGTTTGTCAATCAATTATCTTTATATGTCGTTTGTAAAAATATTTTACAGTAGTAGAAAATAAACTGTTTTTTAAGGCGAACAACTTCTTTGCTAAAATATTTTTGGTCCCAATACATAATGATTTACATTTTTTAACTTCAAATAATGAATTTAATGGAAAAGTTGCAAGTCATAAAACGTTCTAAATATACAAATCTATCCATTTTTTCCATATCGTTGCTCCAGTTTTTGTCAAATTAACGAATATTAGAAATAGTTTATTTCAACCTCTTCAGCTTATTTTAAAAATGTTGACAAATAACAAAGAATACACCCTTAAAGTTTCGCATTTGTCTTGATATACTCTTGTATAAGACAACAGTAAATAACTTGTAATATAACTTCGAAATATAAATTTGAAATTATAATGATTTGTTCATAAGTGATTTACGTTTTATTAATTTTGATTTTTTTTTCTTAAATTTAATTTAAAAGTGATTTACGTTATTTATTAATTGAAACGTTTAAAATTTGAATATACGTTCAAATTTTTTTTTACAATAAATTTGTTTATGATAAATAATTTTATAATAAAAATATGACCGAATTTCCTGGAAAGTTTGCCAAATTTGTACATATGAAAACCTAGCTTTACCACTTATCACAGAAAATCTCTATTCCTTCCCTTATCACAGAATAATACAGGAACGAACCATATGCGACAAAGATAGAAGATTTAGATATGTCGTTACTGTTTTTTGTTTTTAATCTGTGTTTTTAATGGATATTTTAAAAGCCGGGTAATATATGGTAATCTGTGATGGTAATATATTATATACCTTTGACTGTCTTTGATTACAACTGTGTGGTTAGTGATAATTATTATTAAAATGTCTGGTAAATGTCAATTTTACAATTGTGAAATTTCTCGGAAATCAGGTGTACATGTGTTTAAGTTTCATGCGTCAAGAGATACTAATTTATGTACAAAGTGGATAGAAAATTGTGAGTTCATTAATATAGAATTTTTTTGCACATTTTGTATGTAAAAATACGGCGTTAAGTTACCTTAGAAATGGCGATCGATGGCTTTTACCATATACCGTATGATCGAAAAAAAAACGGCGTCAGCGATGGCTATGAAATGAAGATCGCTGTCATTTGATATGTAAAATTATATGGGGAATGCCATCGATCGTCATTTCCAAACCAATCGGACGCCGTTTTTTTTCGATCGTAGGGTATAATTTAACACATTAAGAGTTGTCCATCGTTATATTTCTATATCTATGCAAAGTTTACGATGGATAAATCAAGTAATATTATGTGGATACAAATTATAAATGAATCAGTGAATATAAACTGTTATAAATTATAAGTAGGTAATGCAGTTAGTGAATATACCGTACGATAGAAAAAAAAGCATGGGAGTGGGCTGGAAATGAAGATCGCTGTCGAGTATGTAAAATTATATGATAAATCTTATCGATTGTCACTTCCAAATCAACATGACATGCATCTGTACATCATTAATCTCACGACTAGAGTTTCCTGAAATCCCGAACTCCCAGGATCCCGGCGGCGTGTATGTTTATCTCCGGAATCCCGATATTAAATTCCGGGATCCCGAAAATCCCATAAAATTTAAATGTCCAATCTAAAATGATTCGACTTTATACACCTTTCAAAGATCAACAAAACAAAGTAAAATTCATATTTAGTAAGTAAAAAAATGTAGTTTCAGACAATAGTTTGGTTTGGTTTGGTCGAGTTTTGTTAACACTGTCTAGTCTGGGCTTTTTTATTTGATATATGTTAATTAAATAAAAAAGCCCAGACTAGATAAAATCAGGAGCTAACTAATAGAATCATATAATTCTCTCCGATGTAGGATAAGTTTCTATTTTCGGAAAATTTCTTAGATTTTTTTTTGTTTCAACTGACGAACTGACACAAAATGATAACTAGTTGCTAAAGTTGAACTAATTTGACAGCTATGTTGAAGTAACGTCAGACATATCACAGCCACCCTAGATTTTATCAAATAATAAAGATCTATTCACACTAAATCATAGAAATGAAAATATCTAGGAAAATCTTTGTTTGAGGGGTAGGCCGGCAACCTTAATAGTATTTGGAAGTGACATGAATTTCCCATTGAATATCGGAATAATATTCTGGGTGATTCAATTAAACTAAAGGAGTTATACAGGGTGGGTATTAAAGGAGTTATACAGGTTATACCAATGTTCAGCATTAATTTTGCCCCACCTTGTATAACTTTATGGGCCAGGTTTTAATTTGATTTAAAGTGCAATAGAGTAAATTCCAATTTAGGTAGTTTTTCTTGAAATTTAAAAATTGTTCTTAAAAATCTTAAGTAAGTCTAAAACCTTACATTTCAGTCATATACTTCCCTAATAAAACACACCTTTATTTTTCTCTTAGAATCTAAAAATTAATTAATAAAGGGGGTATTCCGTTACAAAAAACACAACTTTGATGTGTAACTTTTTGGGGACACCCTGTAGAACTCTCTATATTTTTAAAACGTGCGCAGAATTAACTTACATATGCTCATAAAATTTCATTTCAATACGAACTGGTCGTTCTCCTTGGAGCCTCCGAGTCGTATGAGAGGCGCCACCCTGTATAATTTTTATATAGTTGCACTTTAATAAATTGTTAGTTAAAACTAACAGTCCTACGAGTGTGGAATTTTGACCAGGTGGATTTTGGACATTCATCTCCTAACAGAGTGAAATAAGGGATGAAAATTTGTACAAACATTTGTTAAAATCGGGTTTAGAAGTATGAAATTCTGTTTGTTCCTTATGTAACGTAATTTAGCAATAACAAGCAATTTTTTTTCAGAACGTCCACACCTCATTTCACCCCTTAGAGGGCGAATTTCCAAAAATTGTTCCTGAGTGCTAAATTACGTTACATAAGGAACGTCTGCGCAAAATTTCATACTTCCAAAACCGATTTTAATGAATTTTTGTACAAATTTTCATCCTTTAATTCTTATGGGGCGAATGCCTAAAATTCGCTTCTGAGTACTCACTTTCATCACTTGAGGAACCTCTGTGCAAATTTTCATACTTCTAGGACAGATTTTTTTCAGAAAGTTCACCCCTCATTTCACCCCCTTAGAGGGAAAATTTCGAAAAATTGCTTCTTAGTGCTAAATTACCTTATATAAGGAACGTCTGCGAACAATTTTATACTTCTAAAACCGATTTTAACAAATTTTTGTACATATTTTCATCCCTTATTTCTTAAGGGTTGAATACCCAAAATTCGCTTCTGAGTATAACTTTCATCACTTGATGAACCTCTGTGTAAATTTTCATACTTCTAGGACAGATTTTTTTTCAGAACGTTCACCCTTCATTTCACCCCCTTAGAGGGAAAATTTCCTAAAAGCCTGCCTCTTAGTGCTAAATTAAGTTACATAAGGAACGTCTACGCAGAATTTCATACTTCTAAAACCGATTTTAACAAATTTTTATACCAATTTTCATCCCTTATTTCTTAGGGGATGAATGTCCAAAAAATTCAAGCTTCTGAGTACTCACTTTCGTCACTTAATTAACAATTTCCAAATTTCAAACTCCTCGGACTAATTTTAAAAAAGTATGCAAAATTTCACCCCACTTTTACCCCCCTTAGTAGAAGGATTTCCTAAAATCGCTTTGTATAATCGAACTGTTAAGTTACGCTACTTTAAGGCTCCTCTGTGCAAAATTTCGTAGTCCTAGGACATGCTTTTTTGTATACAAAAGTACCCCCCATATCACCCCCTTAACGAGCGAATTTCCAAAAAATTGCCCCCTTAGTGTTCAATTACGTCAGTCAAGGAGCACTCGTGAAAAATTTCATACTCTTAAACCAGATTTTAACAAATTTTATGCAGCTTTTCATCCCTAATTTCACCCCCTTAGCGGTCGAATTTTCAAAAAATCCCTTCTTAGTGCTCATTTACATCACTTAAGGAACCTATGTGCCAAATTTTATTTATTACTATATAGATAACCTTTACCCTTATTTTCAGCTAATGAATATTAAGAGACAAATAATAAAAATAAAATCTAAATTATAAATTTCATGGCTATAAATAGCATATATATGCATCTAGAAATTCTGACTTTCAAACATCCACTGCGACTAGTATTTTCATATCCAATTGTCTAGTATTAAAGTCCGAATATACATTTTCCCTGGGTTTGACCGGGAATTTGCTTATAAATGTGAACAACCGGCTACGTCGCTTCACATCGCGTGGCCGTGGTGTGGCTCCAAATTCGTTCGTTTTAAAAATATTATTAGATTTGGCTATAGGCGCCCTCTGTGTCATTAATAGGGAACTGTCTCATCGAAAACATGCTGTTCCGTAAGCAATGGCCATCTGGATTATGTGTTATCTGTGTTTGTATGTTAATAGAAATTCTTGCTTTGCTTTATCATCACCATTACAAATTATTAATTAGACGTGAACGAAGACGCGGGTACACGCTAGTTTAAGTGTAAAATTAATTCAAACTCTAGTGTGTAGTTGGTTTACTTATGAAGAATATACTACACATTTTCTTATATTGCTATTTTTTGACCGCAGATGGTAAAATTATAACTAAGAGCTTCTCGCCCGTCGAGTGAGATGCACCCTGTACACTGCTACGCAATTCAGGATCTACGCGGATCCAGGGGCAAGGCGTAGGTAGATCGGAATGTATACGTATAGACGAGTGGCGGAATTTTGGCTTTTTTATATCGCAATTTGTAAACAGCGCTTATTTGTAAACAACCACCGTTTGTAGAGAGGTATTTTAGATAACAATCGATATTTCGTCCTATTGCTGCCAAAAGTCACTAACTAACATTTTTTCGAACAACCAAATTCAATCACTAACTATGTTTTGAATCGGAGAATCGATTGCAGATTGTCATTAACTACGATTTCTGGCTATTTATGTTTTATTTTAATACCGAATAGTTACTAACTATAACATCTTTATGCAATGCAATTCATCTTTAGACGCATTTTTCTCGGAAGTAATAAAAAGTAAGTTAGTGACTTTTGGCAGCAATGGGACGATTTAGAAATGTTTTGACACCCTGGAAATAGTACCACCGAGCATGTCATTGTTGCAACTTGCAACTGCGTTAATACGCCTGGCGGTGACCGCCTCATACTCTTTCAGATATTTAGCAATAAAATAAAGAAACCTGTTATTTTAAGCTGTTTTTTATAAATAACTATAACAGTTTCAACTGTTATCTAAAAATAACAGTTTTGCCCATCACTACTCAGTAGGATCAGAATACTGTTGAACAAACTAACAACTAATCAAAATATGACCACACACGAAAAGTTTTTTCGCTTTCGTATTATAGGTAATTATGTGATAAAAGTATTGTAGAATGAATGGGGAGCGGAAAAGTCAATCACCGCGACGCGCGTCCGCATTTATTTTGTTACGCGCCCGCGTTTGTTTTTTATTGTGCCCCCCTTCTTGAGTTATAACTCATCATACAGTCTGACGGCTTTGACAAGCTAATATCTGAGACAATTTTACAGAGGTTACGTTACTCCATCTCCGATATACTTAGTGATAAAAGTATAGTTTTAATTAAGTTCACCCGCAACAGGAAGCGCTAGTTTCGTAAAAATTGGGGAGGAAGAGAGTCGCCGATCTATATCTCTCTTTTAATCTATAGTTTACATCTTACCTGTAAGGTAGGGTTACCACATCGTCTACAACTGTGCCAGGGGGTGGGTTAAAATCGCCTCGGTCACCTCCAGGCTGTGCTGTGAACAATTTCGTGTTGATCCTCTTGGACACCACAATAAAAGCCATTTTTAAAGGCTGATTTGCGTATAGCTCGGCGCCCAATTTTTCTTTTATCATTTCCACTTCGTGCTCTTTGACATATTGGATTTGGCCGTCACCAACACCATCACGATAGATTATAATTCTTTCTGTAAATATACCAATGATAATGATTAGCGCGACGATAAAAAATTAAATTATAAATCTTACCTGGGATCACTCCATTTTTAGTTTGATATTCCTTGCAAGCCAGCATGATAAATGTAGCAATATTGCTGCTCATTTCTTGTTCAAATTCGTGCTCAACAGACATGCTGAAATATGAAGAGCAAGCCTGGTCCATTGTAGCGACCATTCCAGAGAAACTCTTTGATCTCATAGCTGTATCACGACAAACGTCGTAACTAAAATTAAAATAGATTAAATATTTGAAAAGAAAATAAATTGTAATTGGTTTATTACTTACCCCACAACCATTATATTTTTAGGCATGGTCATGCCCCAAGGAGCACCTCCAAGCTTGCAATTCATTTGGATGGCGATTTTAGTGGCTACAGATTTATTATCTAAAGGAAAATATACAAAAATAAAACAAAAACAAACAAAAGTCATAAAATCCAACTTACTCTTCTGTACATTTTTTCCCAAAGCAACCTGACAGGGCATGGCTCTGTCTACATAGCACTTCTTCTTTACTGCAGAGTACTTGTCAGAAGAGTTATTTGCAAGAACGACAAAGACCATTTTAGGACCCAAATTAGAAATTATATGCTCGAGAGTATCCAAGTAGGATTGGGCGCGGTCGTCACCCAGATCAAATATTTTGAACTGACCTACTTGGAAATTCATACCTAAAATCCAACAAAAAACAGTTTGTGAGAAAATTTTCATTTTTAAAAAGATGCAAAATCTTACCTCGAGACACTTGTTGGATGCTCTGGACGAAATCAGCAGTGGGCTGCTTCAGGCGAGAGGGACACACAACAGCCAACCTTTCCAAGGGAGTAGAATTAAATAAAGGTGCTGATCTAAGACCCTGGGTCCAATCAGCTTTCGGTCCTGATGGAATCGCTTGCGATTTGCCGATATACACCGATTCCTGAGGCAAAACGCGACCGTTGAATTCCACGATGTCCTGAGCTAACTGCAAGTCCCAACGTTTCAGCTCCTCAACAGCTTTGGGACACTGTAGTAACCTTTGACTGAATTCTCTAAGTTTCTTCATACGACCTAGAACAAATAATAATAATCAATGAAAAGGAAAAAGGCAAAACAAAAAATATAGAATATTTTAATATTTCTAAAAGTACTTGCCTGATGGATTGACTCTTGTATGTTCTCCTAAGGCCTTCATCAAATGGAAGTTTTCTCTTTGCTTGTCTGTAAGCCCAGTCATGGTACACAACTGTGGTACCAATATAACAACCTCAGGCATACCAGCCCTTATTTCACGAGGTTTACTACGAGATACCAGCATTGGTTGATTAGGAACAGTGATTTTCACCTTGTATCTCTCTTCGAAGTACTTACGGTAACTTATTTCAGAACCTGTCAAAGAAAGAAAAAAAAGTTAGGATAGAACCAAAATGAGTTCAGTGATCTTACCATCCCTTTTCTTAAAGGTACTGTTTGGCGTCTGATCAAATGCCACGTCATCAATACGATAAGTTTTATTATTATAATACGTCATTACGATACTGCCAATTACACGTTGTTGGAACTCAACTTTCGGGTTCTTCGACTTTTGACTACACTCCAACAAAAGGTCATACACATTATCCATCCTCAGCATCTAGAAAAAAAATCCATACCATTTTAAAAATATTGAAAAATAAATAGTTAGCTTTTGACATTTTATTAAATAAAAAATATCGTACTTCTAAGGTCTATTCTAATTAGGGCTTTTCTCAGTTCGGCTACGCGACGCGTTGCAGCGCCACTAAGTGTAACATATAGATGGACGTTGGAAATGTATTAATCCCTAGCGTAGCGCAAGTGTGAATGCTCTCTTTTAAATCTGTTAAATCTTTTTCTAGTAGCAATATGCAGTGCAGCATATCAGTCTAGCTGAATACAGCGCAAGTTAGAATAAAGATTTATTTAGTCCTTGAATAAGAATCAGGAAAGTTTAAATGACAAATAAATTAAAATAATTATAAACTGCACGATGGACAATTGGCATGAATTTTTAAATTACTCGAAATGTCTAATTATATCTATTATTTTATTTTTTTTATCTATTTCTATCCAGTATTTGAAACCCATCAGCAATTATATTTTTTCAAAATTTCTAAAAATATACTAGATAATTGACTGTTTTAAATGAGTGAACACATAGTTATTATAAGAGAAAATGCACGACTTTTAACATCTTTATTTGTAGAAAAAAACTCGTAGACGTGTTCCTGGGATCGAAATATACCACCCCTGAAAATATTTGTACTTATTTCAGACTCACCCTGTATATTGCTAGTGGCATGCCATCATCATTCTCATTACTAGAGTCACTAGAATAAGAGCGTAATATCACAGAATATCTAGCTACGCAACAGAAGCCTCGTTACACGTATAAAATCGTAGGTATCAAAAGGAGACAGGCTTTTAAAACCTGTCTCCAAATCAGATAGTTTGATGCGGTAGTTTCGCTACTACATAATAGAGGGCGATAAATTGAAAAGAAAACAGTTTTCTACAAACGAAATTTAAAAGAATTTTATGCAGTGTTGCCATTGTGTAATTCATATTGTAATACTTCCTTATAAAGCCTACCTTCAAATTTGCTACATCATTTAAACATATTAAATAGATCAGAGCTCTTTTTTCAAACGTTTAGGTATTTAACTTGCCATGTTAGTTGGTGTTAAATCTTACGAGCTGAATTACAATCACTTTGTGACGTTTGATTGTAATTGAATTTCCTGGCGTTTGATTGGACTTATACTTGGTATAGTAAGTATCTTCGGTGACATTGTAATATGGTGGTACTATGATGCATATAAAGTGGTACCTTAATATAGTACCATATTACGATACCACTTCCTGACGTTCGATTGGGCTCATATTTGATTATACTTGCGTATTTTTGATGACATTACAATATTATGGTACCATGAAGTACATCAAGAGGTACCATAATGTAGTACGATATTACGATACCATTTCCTGGCGTTCGATTGGTCTTAAACCTTGTATACTACGTGTGTTCGGTGACATTGTAAATATGATGGTACTTTGATGCATGTGGTGGTACCTTCTATAGTACCATATTATGATACCACTTCCTGACATTCGATTAAGCTCATATTTGATTATACTTACGTATTTTTATGACATTGCAACATTATGGTACCATGAAGCATATCAAGGGGTACCATAATGTAGTACCATATTACGACACCATTTTCTGGCGTTCGATTAATTGGGCTTAAACTTTGTATGCTACGTATGTTCGGTGACACTGTAATATGATGGTACTATAATGCATATAAAGTGGTACCTTCTATAGTACCATATTATACCACTTCCTGACGTTCGATTGGGCTCATATTTGATTATACTTGCGTATTTTTGATGACATTACAATATTATGGTACCATGAAGTACATCAAGAGGTACCATAATGTAGTACCATATTACGATACCATTTCCTGGCGTTCGATTGAGTTTAAACTTGGTATACTATGTATCTTCGATGACATTGTAATATGATGGTACTATGATGCATATAAAGTGGTACCTACCTATAATAATAACTTTATTGCCTAACAGGTATTTACCCATACAAAAGACAATTTAGACATATTAATATGAAATACAGTAATAATTAATAAAATATAAAAAAAATACAGCAGATATGACACTATAGTGCCATATTACGATACCATTTCCTGACGTTCGATTGTGCTTAAATTTGGTACTACGAATCTTCGGTGACATTAAAATATTATGAAGCATATCGTGTGGTACCATAATGTAGTACAATATTATGATATCATTTCCTGGAGTTCGACTGGGCCAAAATTTGGTATACTTGTGTTTCTTTATAAAGATTTGTTTAATTAATAATTTTAGTTTATTTTACGAATTTTAATTTATTGTACGATGTCGTGACAGCAACTTTTATGCCGAACTAATATATTATTAATTGTACCTGTGTCACTTTTTAAAATCTACCTAGGTCTATATAAATAACGAGGCAAACAGAAGAAATTTGTTATTATTTTTTTAGTCAATTAACATTTTTTATACTGCATTTTAATAAATTATTTCCATTATTATTAAACGTATATTTCATTACTAACGTTACAGCATTAATAAATATCACTTTCAATGGCCCTGTATATTATTAATTTTAAAGGTAATTAAAGTTATTTTCTTAGTTAACATAATAAAGTAGTGTATTACCCTTGTATATGAATTTTTAAAGTAGCTCAACCGAAGACGTTTATGGATGTAAAGCACCAGATGGCGGGGCGTATTTCACAGTCTTTTACTAGAGAAAAATATTTTTTGTTGCTCTGAATTTTGAAGCGGCCAATAAAAACAGAGAAAATAAAAATCGATAATTTTCGGACTGTGCCAATTGGTTACTAATCGACCAGATACATTTTGTCTATTAGATATGCTATAAAAGCTGGTAATTATTCAATTCGACCATTGTAAATACCCGACAAATTCCGCAAGGCCGACGAGGTCGATGTTTTTCACTGATAAGAGAAAAAAATGTTTGTTTAGATAATTTTCGAGATATTTTTCCTTTCTGAATGCACATTTTAAAATATTTTATATTCTTTGTCCGCTTGATCTATTATACTGGTGGCACGTATCGAAGTTTTATTTCTTGTAGTTTTAAAACATTTTCTTGTTTCTTTGTAGTAAAATTAGATTAATTTATTATAAGTTTGATCATAATGTTTAGTGTAGACTACCAGAAGAAATTTAGTAGTGTTTTTATATTTTATTTTGAAGTTAAGTAGTAGGTGAAGGGGTAATTTGGTTATTTTTTGTTAATGTTTGATAATTTGTTTAGTGTAGAATACAAGAAGTAGTTTGTGTAGTGTTCTTGTAAAAGATTGTGTAGTGTTCTTGTAAGAGATTCATTTATTTTGTAGTTGAGTAGAAGGAGAAGGTATTTGGGTATTTTTTTCTTTTTGTTTTTCTTCGAATAATTATTGTAGTAGTTCTTTTAAATATTGTGATAGATACATTATAATCTTCCTTCTACTTTTCTGGTAGTTGAATATACGAAAAAAATCTGATCAAATTTATTTTAAATGAAATTAATCTAGTCTTATTAATTAATCAAATTAAACTAGCCAAATAATATTAATTGCAATCAATTATTAAAAAATATCAATTATTTTGGAAAATAACTTTTGAAATGGAGTATTATTGATAAAATTTAGCCAATTTTTTTTACCCAGTAGCGTATTTCAATATGATCTTATCATTTATCACTGTATAATAACTTTGTTGTGGCAGACAAATATACCAGTTAGTTTCAAAATATTATTTTTTTTCAAACGTCACAAAAGTATTAATTTTGCGACGTGATTGACAATATAAAAAAGTCATTTTAATGCCTAGGCATAAAAGTAAAGCACTTTTACGCCTAAGCATAAAAGTATGAAAATATATTATTAAAATGACATAAGTCTCAAATTCAACGAGCCGTAACCATAGTTTCTCGATATGTAATTACTCATGGTACAAAGAGAACTTGAAAACAAGGTATGGTCGATAGCGTCTCCAATTTCGTTCAGTTTGCGCATATCGCCTGTGACGTCATATGCCATACAATAAAATATCCGTATTGTTCAATTGCCACTAATAAAAAAAGACCTAAAATAGGGAAGAATTAAATAACCCCTAAAGTTATGTAAAATCATCGAGTTTGACATTTGAAAAGTTATGACACATTATACACATTTATTATGTATCATCTGTTTGAAAATTTGAAATTGGCGCGTGGAGCTTGCCGACCAATAGTGCCGTTTATCACCTGTGACGTGATGACCAACCTGCGCAATATCATACCTTATTTTCTTTGTATCATGATAATTGCTTACAAGGTATGAGTTTTAAATATTTTTATATTATTTGGAACGTTTGAAATTGTTTAAAAAATTATTTGTGGCGTTTGAAAGAATAGCATGTTCTATTCGGAGTAAAAATGACTTCTGTGCTTCGGCTGTATGTCAAACGTACAGTCTCGCCACGAAAAGTGTCATTTTTACTCCTAATAAAACAATATACTAGAAAGTTTTATGGTTTAACGGGCTTTGTGAGTTAAAACATAATGATATTTTCAGTTTTTATAATTCTTGATCGAAAATAAACGGCGTCAGCGATGGCTATGAAATGAAGATCGCTGTCATTTTATATGGGAAATGTCGATCGTCATTTCCCAGCCAACTGGTCGCCGTTTTTTTTTTCATATGGTACAAAGTTAAAGCAAACTTGACTCTGACCACGTTTTACACTAAGAAAGATTTATTTCGTGTAATAAAGATATAAATGGTGTATTAAGTACATAATATTTATTTAAATGTCAAATAATATTATTGAAGCAAGTGCCAAGTTTTATTTTTAATTAAGAAAAAATTTAATCAAGAATGTATAAACGTTTTGTTTTCAAAAAAAAATTTATCGTAAATTCGTAAAACCTCAATTTAGAATATCGAAGAATGAAATAAAATTTTATAGCCCTGGGTCAAATCGAAATAAAATAAGTGTATGTAACTTTTTTTAAATATTAATAATTACCAGTAATTAGCATTAATGTACCAACATATTGAAAATTGTTATTTCTTTGTTAAATACGGTTTAGAATCCTTAAAATAACAGCAAAAATAATCGAAAATTAACAATGAAATAATAGTTTTGTTTAAAATTCTTAATCAGCTGAGCCCTATTATAGTTCGCAAAAATCCGAGCTATATTATTACATTACTCTGAGGGAAATACCGCAAATAATCGATATTTTTGACTCCGCCCCTAATCACATGCTTCATTCCTTTAAAACTTCACGATTTGTTCACCAGAGGCAGCAGATTTTGTCGAGAGGTTGATCAACTTTAAGAATATATAAACAAGGGTATCATACATATTAAAAATGTCTTTTGTGAGCATATGTTTTCTAATAATATACTTAACCTTAAAACTATTTTAAAAGCCAAACGAATAATTACTGTAAGTGTATCTGACAAGAAACGAAGAATAGAAAGAAATTATTATACACCAGAAAAAGAATGGGATGTCCATTAAAGTCTTTTTGAATCTAGCAACTGTGCATATTTAGCCGACCTAAAAATGAAAATTTCCAATTATATTCTGATTATGATATTGTCGCGCCATCTAGTATTTTATTTGTGCAATTTTTGCTCTTTCATTTCGAGTATTTTTCTGTTGCGTAGCTAGATATTCTGTGGTAATATACTCTGTTTTTTTTTTCTCAGGTAAGATGTCGACAGACGATGACAGAAGAAAAGCAGATGACGTCCCATACCAATCTATTTATTTTACTAGAAAAAGTTTCTAATATTTTTTAAGTTAGGTATGGATGGGTTTAAATATAAATCCGTCATGCGTCGTCTCTTGTTTTTAACCAGTTTTATTGGTTTATTTCAAAAATGACAGATCATATTTCAATTTTATTGGTTTGACGGAACGATGAACGACGAACGGACGCCGATGCGTATGAACTCGCCTTTAGATTTTTGAGGCTTCTCAAAGTCTTGCCAAATTATAAGTTATAATTTTGTGTCAACTTATGTCAAATATCTGCGTTTTGGAAGATGATGCATTTTGATTCGTGTTATTACGTGTGTTTTGTGTCTTTTGAAGTCAAGTGAAGGAAAAATCGAGGGAAAATTAACTGTAGACCCAGAGCACAGTTTATAGTTAATACTCGCCGCCTAAGCAGAAAGTCTTATACACCAATAAAGTTACCATCAATAAAGCTTGTATACCATACCAGATCGTCGTAGATAGTGCATCTCGTATATGCTACAAGGATCATACTAAACATATACTACTGGATCGAGTAGCTGTAAAATATCACGCGATAGGTAAATAATGGATTTTAGTACTGCAGAAAAATATGTCAATAGGTACTGGTTTAAAAAATTAAGATTAAAGTTAATTAATCAACCTTTAAGGTATAAAATTTGGTAAAAGTGTTATTATTAATAAAATAGCTTGTTTTATTTATTCCTGTGGAATATTACAAATTTGTATTTGTACATAAGTTATTTGATAAAGATAATAATAAATACGGGAAGTTTCTTGAAGCTTGAGAGCAAGAAATAGTTCTTTTCATATTTTTTTTGGTATAGGGTGTTTTGTTCTTGTTTGTTTAGTTTTAACATACCATTTTTCGTTTTTTTTTTAAATAAAATAACTCGATTACATTTTTTCAGTTTTATACAGTTTTTTTTCACAATATTTTGATTCACTTGTTGATCAGTCAAATTTGAAATATATTAATTTCCTGCTATGCGTTCCAGTTGTACCAACTTATTTCTTTGTAAAATAAAATAAACTATTTTGAAATTAAAATGACAGACACATCTATCACTGTCAAGGATCTTGTCGTTGGACAGACTATACAGGGTGTCCCAGAAATAAGTGCAAGTATTTTAAGGGGTGGTAGATCTCGATAAAAGAAACATATTTTCTCTTTATCGTTTTTCAAAAAAGTCCAAAATAACGGAGTTATTTTACTTTGAAAATTTCCAAAAAAAATGATTTTTTGCTAAAATTTTGAGAACCACGGGATCTTTTCTGGATTTTCTTTCTTGTAAATTTAATCTAATACCTATGTTGCCATATTATCAAGAAATTATATTTTTTAACTAAAAACTAAAAAATTTCCAAAAAAATTAAAAAAAATTCGAATTTTCAAAAAAAATTTTTCGTGAAAAAAACTCGTAGGCGTGTTTCTGGGGTTGAACTATACTACCAGTTAAAATACTTGCACTTATTTCTGGGACACCCTGTATAATAGTCTCTATAGTGTTGTTCAATATTTTCAATTAGAGTTTTGTCGCCATAACAGACAGTAAATAACATTTCTTTTACTTGCAGCAATTTTTTGTTTAAAATTCTTAATCAGCTGAGCCCTATTATAGTTCGCAAAAATCCGAGCTATATTATTACATTACTCTGAGGGAAATACCGCAAATAATCGATATTTTTGACTCCGCCCCTAATCACATGCTTCATTCCTTTAAAGCTTCACGATTTGTTCACCAGAGGCAGCACATTTTGTCGAGAGGTTGATCAACTTTAAGAATATATAAACAAGGGTATCATATATATTAAAAATGTCTTTTGTGAGCATATGTTTTCTAATAATATACTTAAACTTAAAACTATTTTAATAGCCAAACGAATAATTAATGTAAGTGTATCTGACAAGAAACGAAGAATAGAAAGAAATTATTATACACCAGAAAAAGAATGGGATGTCCATTAAAGTCTTTTTGAATCTAGCAAACCAAACCCTTTTCGTCTTCTTTGGACAGTGGCCATTTTCGTTCACAACACACAGACAAGTTTTCTGACAAGGTTGTAAGTAAGAGCTGTTTAAAATTCGGCTGTGGCTTTTGGCGCCGGTATTCGGTTTTGGGAAAAACGTGGAACTGTCACATCACTAGTTTTAGGTGCATAAAATATTTATTCTTTAGGTGTCTCCGTCACCGCGCCATTTTCAAATTCTATTGTGATTTCTAAATAGACGATTTAGAAAGACACCCGAAGAGTGTAAGTGAACAAACTTGCAGTTCTAAAAAGTTATGTCAATTTTCAGAATATAATTTCTAGAGATGAGCAAAACTGCGATTCTCCAAACGCAATTGAAACTGCGATTGTGGTTTTTTAAATCGCTGCGACTGAACCTGCGATTGCGATTTTAATATTTAAATATTGTACTAGGCATTCTATTCAGAGTGTCATTTTCTATCATATAAAGTAGAAAAAATACCGAGGGTGCCGTTTAAATATCAAAAGTTAGTTGGTAGTAATTTCCGGCGAAACATGATGTGATTGAGACGAATTCAATACGTCAATCAATCCTAATTTATGCTCACAAACCAAATCTCGTTTCTTAATCAGAAAAAATAAAAAAGTTATCGAGACGAACCACTCTTCTGAGAGAAATACTCGGTATATTATGATCTTGACCCTAGAAAAATAATATCTTCTCTATAAATAAATAAAATCAGCAAAAAAATGCAATCGCAGTTTACTAAATAAAATGCTTCAATGGACCACAAAAATAAATTCGCAACAAAATCGCAACTCCTAAAAATTCAAACTCTATCGAAGGTTATTAGGGTCCTAGTTTACAAAATCACAATCCCAACAAAATCGCAAATCGCAGCAAAATCGCAACTATAGTAATATTGGTTGCGTAAATTGAAACTTGCGAATAGAAAAAATCGCAGTCGCAGTTTCCTGAGAGCCAATCGCAGGTTGCGATTGCGATTTTAAAATCGCTGCGATTGAATCGCAATTTGCGATTTGTTGTTCATCTCTAATATTTTCAATTGTTAAAATATTTACGTTTATTTTATGAACGGATAAATCTATAGATAACTTTACCTTAAATTTTAAATCGACAGTTAACATGATACCGGCGTCGTATTGTCTCATTGAAGTCTCAAAGCCGGGCCATAATTCTAAGTTATGTTCGTGGACCGTGATCTTCAGTTTGGGATCGTAGTAATCTCGGCCAATCAGTTTAAAGTCCATTGCTTCTAGGCACCTTCTTACAACCAAGTTGAACAGCTGGAAGTAGTGGTAATCGCCCAATTTTACTTCTCCCACTAAACGAGCGGAAATTCTATACTGCTCTTCCTCTGAAAATAGCAATTTACATGAAAAAATGATCAAAAATTTTTGAAATTTAAGGTTAAATGAAAATACTTACTGTCGTTAGCAGAAACTAATTCCAATGGGTCGGGATGCAATTTTGAAGGAGTGTATAAGTTTGTACCATCGAATATGTAGCCAGTGATTAAAATATTAGCAAAAGCTCTTCTCACAAGAGCTCTTTTTTCACGAGTATCGTCTGTTTCTGGTACAAAATCGACCCTGTACTGGTTAAGACCCCAAGAGGCCGTATTTATCAGAGGGAAATAATTGGCCTTCAGTTTAATAGTAGTGCCGTCCGTACCTGTCAAAAAAAAAAAGTTGAATTTTAATAATTATTATTAGCTTAGTGAAAATGGGCGCTTAATTATTCTAGCCATAATTTTTAGTAAACAAGATTATCTAGGTTACTAATGGTGGGTTCATATAGTAAAATAAAATTAAAAATACACATATACTTGCTCATACGTAGTATGATGAAGCCGGATGAAAGTTTAGATTAATGATTGTTTATACAGTGCAACCTTTTTAATAGGAACACACGTTAATCAAACACACATAACCTAACTTAACCTAACACCTCAATTGCGATGTTAATAGTTGGAACGCTATCTCCATAATAGGAACATTCCTAACGACAATTACGTAGCACGGTGTCTCCTTGCTCTGCAGTGGGATTCTGTAAGCTCCCTAGCAAGAAATTTCCTGTCTATGCTATTTGTATACGATTGATGAGTCACTAGACATGAGAAGTGTTTACAGAATCGGGCCTCTGTTTTTCGCATACCTCCCTTTAAAGCTTGATTTTCATGCATCCATTATCCGACGAGACATTAATTTTATTGGATGAAATTAAAGACTTCGATTGGTGAGAAAATTGCGCAGTTTTTAAATTTAATGCATTTCCATGCCTCAATTTATCGGATATTATCATTTCCATAACTATTTCATTGTTTTGCTTATATTTTTATTAAGGTTGGGCTGAATTTGTCAAAAAAGTGCCAAAACGTCCGTTATCGTATTAAAAGTTAAATATATTTTAACTTTCTCCATTGACGGGCTGGAGGATTTTCGGATGAAAAGTGGTGTGAAAACGCTATTACCAATCAGAGAGCCGTCGGACCATCCTATCAACGGATAACGTATATCACATCTTATACCGGGTGTGTCTCAAAAGTGGCTCACCCCTATAACTTTTTTTATTTTTTCACATAAAACAACAAGATTTGGTTATTATATGACATAAATTGGGATTAAATGACATATTCAATAATTGTTTTCGACCACTTCCGGTTTTACTGGAAATGACTACAACTTTTGATTTTTAAATGGCACTCTCGGTATTTGTTTACTTTATTCGATAGAAAATAACACTCTGAATAGAATGACATATAAGTCAACTTTTGACATTTTCATACATGGTGTATTCGATTGTAACATGCGGTTCATAACAATTTGATTCGAAATGCCAAGTGTGTGGTATCAAATTATTCGTAAAAAAATGCTTTTTTCAAATATGCTAACGAGCCACCCTCGCTCCATTTGAAAAAATTGAGATATGATTAAAAATACGATTTGGGCATCTTTTAGCCGGCCAGGACAAGACACTAAAAACATAATTCAATTCAATTCAATTCAAAATGTCTTTATTAGGTAGATACACAATTTTATACAAATTAAAATAATAACGATGGCGACGTTCACATTTGTGCTCTTCCACTAAGACGATCAAATCTATTTTTCCAAGGCGCCTTGATTAGAAATTAAGTGTTTTTAACACAGCCATGGCACTCTAGATTGATATTTAAAATACAATGATGTCATTTACAGACATAATACAGAATGTCATTTTCTATCGAATAAAGTAAAAAATACCGAGGGTGCCATTTAAAAATCAAAAGTTGTAGTCATTTCCGGTGAAACAGGAAGTGACCAAAAACAACTGATTACATCAATCTCGTTTTTATGTGAAAAAATAAAAAAGTTATAGGGGGTGAGCCACTTTTGAGACGCACCCGGTATAGGATAAGATACCTATATAAAGTTTGTGATAATAGGTGCCTTTTATTCCCTCAATTGAAGATAGTTTCAATTGAAGACCTCAGTGCGAAACTCAGAACTCGAATGGCCAGATGCTACGTCTTAAGCTTGATTTTCATGCATCCGTTGTCCGACGATACGATGATACGATATTAATATTATTGGTTGAATTGAAAGACTTTGATTGGTTGGAAACGGTTAACCAATCGAAGTATTTAAAATCAACCAATAAAATTAATATCGTACCATCGTATCGTCGGATAACGGATGCATGAAAATCAAGGTTTATCTTTGTTACTCTATGGATGTGAGAGCTGGACACTAAATTCACAGACCGAAAAGAGAATAAAAGCCTTCGAAATGACCTGGGTCATGTGATGAAAGGTGATAGATACGAAATACTACGCCTCATAATAGAGGGCAAAGTGCAAGAGAAAAGATCAGTAGGAAGACGCCAGAACTCATGGCTAAAAGGTTTAAGGAGATGGTTTGAACGTTCGTCTGCCGAAATCTTCCGGGCTGCAGTTTCCAGCGCCACAATTGCCATTTGGATCACCAACCTTCGGCAGGGGAGGGCGTGATAAGTAGAAGAAGAAGATAGTTATTTATATCTAAATACCCTTGCTTATTAAACTATTGTAGGTGAATTAAATAAAAGTAAACTACTATAAATTTAAATAAAGTCCAAAAACTAATGGCGATTTTCAAAATAAGCTACGAACTGTCACTAGCCATGGCGACACTAGCCACCGTAGTTTTATTTTTATTCTTAATCGCTTTTTATCCAAATCGGATTTTAAATAAATATTTAAAATAAAAAAGCAATTTTTGGTACTCCTGTATACATTTAAGGAACTAATCAATTTTTTCAATAAAATTTATATCGCTGGCTTAAAACTCGGCGTAAGAATTAATTCTGAAAAGTAATGTACATAATTTTTATTATTATAGCATGCATATTTAAATATCTCAAAATCCAAAGTAGTTCAACATATTTAACCCTTATAGTAAAAGCCTTTTTTGGGCCCAAGAATCCATAAATGAAATCATATACCGGATTCCATAAGAAAAAATATAACTTTGGTACGGATCTTAGTTCTAAAACACCCTGTAAATTTAAAAATAATTTTAAATTATGTACATTTAGTACATTACAGTATTATTTCATATTGTTCTCTCAAAGGTAAAATACGAGAGAAAAATAACTGGGTGGCTTTGAATTTAAAATTTTAATAAATTTTAAATAAAAATTCACTGTGGAAAATACCATATGAAATATAAAACCGCGAATATCTGCGAAATCGTTAAAATTTTTGAAATACTCTATACAAAAAAATGTTCATTTTTTAATTCTCCACCTATTGAAAAAATAATATAGTGTTCCATTTAAAAAAACTAAGAAATTATTTTATATTTTAAAAAGTTTGGCGTAGAATTTGGAACATCCTGTATGATTTATGTTTACAATAGTTATAGCAAAGTTAAGTACATACAGATCATCTAAAGTAAATACCTAACATAAAAAATGTCTATACCTATGTGGCGGATTCATCTCTACAAAAAAATCCTTTATGGGTATTTCGCCACTGCACTACAAGAAAATCTACAAAATAAAATAGTTATTTTTTGTAAACACTTCTGTGTTAAACCTAAACGGACGCTGCTTGTCAGAAGTTATGTTTACGGTAATACAAATTTGCCTAACAAAGAAAAAAATGCTTAACATTTCGGAAAGTTATCTCTTTCCGTCGTCGGAAGCAAAAAAATACAAAGAATAAAGAAAAAAACTATTTAAAATATTTAAATTCAACTATTCGAGAACACTTTTTTTTAAAACAGATCTACAAGAAACCGTTGACGTTCTGTTAAAATGACATTATATAAAAACTATATATTTTTTTAATTTTTAAAGTAAAATAACTCGATTATTTTGAACTTATTTGAAAAACAGGAAAGAGATAAAAGTGTCTTAACTGTCGAGATCTACCAGTTCTGAACATATTTGCACTAATTTGAAACATCCTTATATAACAAATCTTTGTTTCTAATGATAACGCATATAACAATTTTTAAATAAGTTATGTATCCGTGTGAACCAAGTACATCCAGGGACGCGCCGTCCATATGGGCAAGGTCGTGCGGCGCACGACGCGCGACGGCGCCAAAGCCCTAAAGGCGCCTGCGGCCACTGACTTTAAAAAATAATAAAAAAAAACATTTTTTGGAACTTATCAACAAATTAGTTAAAATTAATTAAAGGTGCCCGGTGGCGTAGAGGTACAGGCTCTCGTCTACCAATCTCAAGGTAGTGAGTTCGATTCCCACTCCCGGCATTGCATCAGCCGACTATTTTTATTAAAATAAAAATAGTTTGGGTACCTAGGTCGACTCAGCCTTAAATGAGTACTTAGGATTCACAATCCTGAGGTCTTATTAGGCGGTTGAGAAGCGTAGTGCTAGCCACATTACCTTCCTTGTATACCGAACGGCTCTAGTATGGCAAGCTGTACCTTGCTACTCCCAAGGCGTTAAACGCTCTATACGGGAGCTATTATTATTATTATTATCAACAAATTAACATAAAATTTAAGTAATACTTTTATCTATGAATGCCAGTGGAGAAAATATATTATCCACCAATGTCGAGCGCTGCGCCTCTGGTCATTAGAAAGTTTGGCTTAATATTATAATATTGGAGAAAGGCGCCTTCCCTTATTTCGCACGACGGCGCCGAAAATATTTGGCGCGTCCCTGAGGACATCCAATATCCCCAGAAAATCATCTCCTGAATAAGCAATATTTCCATATTTAAAGAAATTGTTCTCATACTATTGTTATATTTCTGATTATTCCCTGTTCGTTTTCAGTCATTGTACTTATAACTAAATCTTAATGTTGTAGTTGTTTCGAGTTGTGATACTGTAATGAATGTTTTTTTTTCTTGAATAGTATTATAAACTAAAACTTTCATGAATTTAAATGAAGGGACCCTAAAATAAAATAACGATCAGAATTTTAAATAATTTAGTCCTAGTACTGTTATTTGAAGATTTTTTTTATATTTATATCAACCTTGGAAGATTCAAATATGGGATTTCTACCTGAATTTTTGATTCCAAACAGGTTTCTTGTTTTTTTTTGCTTCTTGTGTTTAATGTGTAACATAGATTAAGACAAGATTTAAAATATTTTAAACAATGCTACAAGTTGGTAAAATATTTACAATATTTATTTAGAATTCTTAACTTTTTAATAAGAAATCTT